TGAATTTAGTATTGATGCGTATTTATTATGCCTTACTTCTTGATTTTGATAGTCTTAGTTTGAATCGGTTAGTTTATTTAGAGAAAGCAAGAGTTTTGAAACTTGTGGTCTAAAACAAGTCATACATAGTAGTATGACTAAATCATCTCACTAATGGTAGAATGGGAAGTATAAATTTAAATCATTTCAAAATATAGAAAGATAACATTCTTTTTGGGATAGACTAAAAAGGAAAGAGTTACATAAATTGGAGAGATCAAGTACTACATAATTGTAAATTTCTAACCTGTTGTATGATCTGCGTAGAGTTGAAAAAACACATTCAATCTGAAAAGGAGGAAGTAGGTTTTTGCGGAGCATGTGTCCATCTAGAACCTTTTTTGTTTTTGCAAAGTAGAGTAAAAAAGATATTTTTCCTGAATTGAGTGAAACTGTCAGACATCATTTTTAGTGATGAGAATGTCTTCTGGGTCTGTTTCGGACAGCCTAAAATGAAGCTAGGACTGTTCTTTTTCCGGGACAAATGGGAGTGTTTTCTCAACTTAGTTAAGAAGAGAGTTTTTATAGTTAATAATCAACCTCAATTAAGTTTTGCAGTGGTACTCTGAAGCAATTTATGAGTGATTCGTATTGATTTTATGCAGACCTGAGTCACTAGGTCTTATTGTTGGGGGTGTGTTCTTGGTCGTTGCTATCTTGTTTCAAACTTTCAACTTCACAGCTGATTCAAATGTAAGTAAAGTTGCAAGCTTTGTGGTTTTTGGAGGTTTTTTATTGCTCGAGGTTTGTTGAAGATGATCTGCTTACATCTTGACTTTGAATTTGGCAGTGGCTTGTTGAGTACAATGCTGCATTATCTTCAATCTGCTTCATGATGCTGCTTGGGTTTGTGGATGATGTCCTTGATGTACCTTGGAGAGTGTAAGCATTTCTATCATATCTAAAGGCTTTCTCTGATGCAACTGGGATCTTTTGGAATCTTTTCAGCTGAGATTCTTATGAAGTTCATATAATATTTGAAACAGGAAACTGCTTTTACCCTCCATTGCAGCTCTTCCGTTGTTGATGGCATATGCTGGGCATACAACTATTATTATACCAAAGCCCCTTGTATCATATGTTGGATTAGAGATCTTGGATCTAGGTAAGCAGCCTATGATTTCGTCATGCTTCTATATAGAGTCCTTTAGTTGGAGTTTGCTAGACTCGAAAGTTTGAAATGCACATTTAACATGCTTAAAGTTGTCGTATCTTACATGGACATAATTTTTTACCATTTCATACCTTCATCATCTCCAATTGTCGACTTCGACTCCATTCTTCATTCTCTCTTGGTTTAACAGGATGGATCTACAAATTATATATGTGGCTACTGGCAATATTTTGCACAAATTCTATCAATATCCACGCGGGTATCAATGGCCTTGAAGTTGGGCAGACAGTCGTTATTGCAGCAGCTGTAAGTTAGAATTGTTCTCTAAATATCAGTTTGGCGATTGAATATCATCTAATACTAGTGTAACTGCAGATTTTGATACACAACATCATGCAAATTGGAGCATCTGCTGATCCTGAATACAAACAAGCCCATGCTTTCTCTATTTATCTTGTTCAGCCAATGCTTGCCACGTCCTTGGGTTTACTTTCATTCAACTGGTAAAATCTCATCTTTGAATAACCTCAGAGTTTTCTTTCAGCAATATGTTATACTTACTCTCTCCGCTGTCATTGTAGGTATCCTTCCTCAGTTTTCGTTGGTGATACCTTTACATATTTTGCTGGAATGACCATGGCAGTCGCTGGAATCTTGGGTCACTTTAGGTACATCTCTTCTTCGTGCCTCGTTCTTGCCATTAAATTCAGCAGTATTACTAGCCTGCTTCTTGAAACATTTGATTGCTTCCTTGCTGTCTTAGGAAAGAAAATGTGGTCCCAATTTCCCTTGTCAGTTTCACTTTTCTCATAGTGACTCCAAGGGTGGCTGTCTGTCTGATGACTTGAAACCTAAGATTTTTCCAGTAAGTGACTGGAGTATTGTCTTTATTTTAGAATTTAAAAGAAGTGACTGGACTATTGTGTGAGCAACACAAAAGTGGCACCAAAGGATGCTAGTCCTGTTCATGAAGGACTTACCAGACAAGCCTATACCAGGGATAAAGTACCCATATTTGAAGGGGGGAAAATTGAAGGATCTTTGGACTCACTAATCCATAAAGAAGTTCTCAAGAATCAGCTTTCAAAGAGGAGAATCACATTACTTCGCCCCTAAAATGCTTGTTATTCACGCATGCACGCCCACACGTTTATACAGTGTACTTTTTTTCGCAAAAATATGCTGAGAGTACAGTGTGGATTCTGCATAGACTTGTCCTTCCTTCAGAACTTATAAGGGATATGGAACAACTAGTTTGTTCTTCTCTGGTCATAGCTAATCAGACTATCTTCTCTTTTTGTTTTCTGCATCATTCGTCTTTCTTTCTAGATTCTTGAGAACGGTGTATTAGAGATCATGCTCTTCCCTTTGTCGTTTATTCCCATGTTTATGAACTACTTTTTCCTTTGAGCTCCAAAACACCCACAGGATTAACTGCGCATGCTACAGATGTGAACACTAGTTTTCTCCTCTTCCATTTTACATGACATGCATATTATTATGATAGTAGTAGAAGAAAACTGCAAATACTAGTTTTGTTGCACGTCGGTTTTATAGGGAATATGTGAATTGTTAATTGAAGTGAAATCTTAAAACTTGCCAAAATCATAGAATGGTATTACAGTAGAAGTACATCAAACGTCTTCAGATGTACCAAAATAGACACACTTAAAGTATCACATAGACTGTGACAAAGCAACAACAATAACAACGAGCCAGTAAAATCCCAGTAGTGGGTCTGGGGAGGGTAGTTTGTACGCAGACTTTATCCCTATCACGAGGGAGTAGAGAGGCTGTTTCCGAAAGACCCTTGGCTCAAGAAAACGAAAAGAGAAAGCGAGTGTCACTATTCAACGAAAAGAGAAAGCGAGTGTCACTATTCTATGTGCTGATGACTTTCAGTTTCTATAGTTGTAGAGATATTTGTTTAATTTTCTTCATTTGAAAGTTGAGACTAATGAGTTTAGTTTTGTCGATTTCCTTTCAGTGAAACACTGCTTATATTCTTTTTGCCGCAAGTCCTGAACTTCCTACTATCACTACCTCAGGTTCTCTCTCTCTCTCTCTCTCTCTCTCTCTCTCTCTCTCTATATATATATATATATATATATATATATATATATATATATCTGAATTAATTTTGGATCCCTAAGGACTCATTTTAGTCTCTTGAATTCCTTTCAGCTAGCTGGTATTATACCTTGTCCAAGGCATCGGCTACCTAAGTAAGTTCTCTAATTGCAGTTGCTCAAGTTTTGGGTTTCCAGTCCGTTCTGAACTAACTAATCTTGGATCCTTTCAGGTTTGACCCTCAGACTGGCTTATTGACCGGAACAAGTGATGGGACACTAGTGAACTTTTTCTTAAGGCAATTGGGCAGAATGTCAGAACAGTCCCTTTGTGTTGTGCTACTGGTTTTCCAGGTAAATAACTTTTTCTTTCTCTTTTCCTTTTTCCTTTTCACGCTTTTTCTATTTAAACATGGATTTTCAGTCATTCCCTGGTTCATTTGCAGTCATTGCCTGTTACCACAGTTGATTGGTCTTAAATCACAAAAAGGGTGATATATTTTCTAGTTAGCCAACGTAGTTATGCTAATAGTAACGCTGATTATAACATCCACAATCCTTGAGCTCGTGAATTGCATGTTCCCTCCTTGTTTTGACTAACCAGATAGTGGCATTCTTGCTATTCATGTGCATAACTATTCACAATATCTCTCGTCAGATATGTTCTTATACATGGAAGGATTGTCAAGGGTAACAAATGTTTGTTTTACAGGCGATCTGCTGCTGCTTCTGTTTTCTGTTGAGGTGGCTCCTTACAGGATGGTACAAATGAAGCTGCGACACTAGAAGAGCTATTTCATTTTGGACGAACATCAAAGGAAAGAGTAACTTAACACTGCATGAAGAGGTTTTCCTCTTATGAAGAAACGACGATACTTGGAAGAAATTGATAGCCTATATATTCAAGCATGGCTGTTGAAATGAACCAATGTTGTTGGATCTTGTAACCTATACTGAGTCCGTAGGAGAATTTTGTATTTTGTTAGAAACCGTGTTTGGCACGGGTCATACGTAGTTTTCTTTTTGTTCTTTTTGTCAGATTTTGATGTTGCAAAGCGTGTATCTTAGTAATTATGTCTGTAATGATCTCGCCTAATTCAATTATTTGAACACTTGGTAACATCTTTAAGAATCAGTAAATTAAAATCTTTGAATGCTTCTTTTTTAAGTCCTGAGACTCGTTAGATAACTGAATAGTTCAATTCCGTATCAAGTCACTAATTTACACTGCCTCCTTTTCTCATAAAACTAACTACTTAACATGGTGTACCAGGAATAAAAGTTGTGATGCAGAAATCACTAGATGATCCATCCTGTTTATACAAGTTACCTGTATACTCATGTACCTATTGATTTACTTCCATTCACTTCTTCATATATACACAATGCATCCAATGAAAAAGAAAAGGGATCTTTACGCAAATAGCTCACCAGATTCACTGTGAAGAATTATACATTAATTATACATGATTATACGTATACTATACATGAAGTATAAATTATACATCCGCCTCTATTTTCAGTCTTAAGTGGTTGGCCGAGTGGCTATCCAACAATGCATTCAGCAATGTCATCCTATTGAACTCATTTGAGATTATAGACAACTCGTGAAGAAATGCACTAAGTCATACTTGCACATGGCAATGGCTTACAATGAAGAAATGTATTAGCATAACCATGTACCTTCATCAAAGCTTCTAGAGATAACCCTGAACCCATCGACAACTTAAAGGTCCACTGTCATAGTGAAGCATTCCAGTTATTGCTATGCACGAAAATAGACAGAAAGAAACAAACTCACGATATTTGTTTTTGCTAGGAAACAGTAAAACTTGTGTATAACTATTTGTAGTACAAGCTTGAACAGTAGAGGATGCCATTACTTCATTAGTTGACGAGAAGTCGAGAACTTCTCAAATTACAGGATGATCAAAGGCCTTACACTTCAATTTTCTACAGAGATTCTATAAACTTAAAACTAACATACTCAAATCTCTTCCTGATGATCCGAAATGATACTCTCTCAAACTTAGCCAGGTGAAAATCTAGTCGGTATCCATTTTCTCTTCCTTCTCAATGTTTTTGCCTGACCATAGCTTGATTGTTCGATCATGAGATACAGTGACAATGTGTTGCCCATCTGAACAAAATAGAAGAGAATAGACAAATAAGCATATGCGAAACGTGAAACAAAGGTTTGAGATTCGAGAAATATCAGCATTTTCTTTTGGCACGGGGTGAGGTAAGATGGGATAAGCCAAAGTCACGGATAATATTAGACTTTGCACCCACAGAGTTACGAGCAAGGAAATGCCAAATTTCTGCTCTCCATCCCAAAAAAAAATGGTCATCATCATTTGCTATTGAGCCTTGACTCATTAGCTTCCTGAACAATGAGATTTATTAAGAGACCTACAAGCCTCATTCGGTGCCTCAAAAAGTTTCAAGTTAAGTTAAACAGGTTATTGATTAAAACTAAGAGAAGCATTGCAAAACAGAATTCCAAACAAACTTAAGGGACCAGCATTAAATAACTAAATTCCTATGAATGCTTCACATTCATTCAAATGACTGCTCGGGTACGAGGCATTGTCAAAACACCAGACTTATTCATATAATTTTCTGGGTCCTGCTTGGAAAAATTTGGAGGGTGAAGGATTCATGATCGAAAATCTTGAGCGAGTGGCGATGTGCCAAATTATAAGGTACGCTTAACATTGAACATTAGTACAACGAAAAAAGAAGATGAGGGACAAGATTTGGTCCAATAATCAGAGATCAGCCTTACTAATCAAGGGTGTGGTATGACACATAATTGCAATCATGAGGATGACATCCCACACAGAAAACAGAACTAACACCAATAGCTACAGTCTTAAAGTCCCAGGTTCATGCATTATATCGCTGTGCAACTTAAACAGCATATGAGACAAACACAACAATTCTATTGAGAGGAATTGCGGGTTTAGTACCAATGAGGTAAAACATATTAGCTAAATCCATATACTTCTTAAATTCCTTGAAGATACTGTTTCGCTCCTCGAAAAGGTAAGAATAGCTTGAACTTAAATGGAACTTACCTCCCGCTACATCCAATGACGTGACTTTTGCTTCATGACCAGATAGTGTCTTCACAGGTTTGAAATCCCTTGATGACCATACCTGAAATATAAGTTTAAGAATGAAGAACATAAAAACAAAATCCAAAAAGCAGCACAATCATAAAAAGACTAAGTTATACCTTAGCCGTCGTATCATAGGACGCTGTAACCAAAAAGTATCCCTCCTGAGGTTCAAATTTAACTTGAGAAATAAGATTGGAGTGAGCAGGAATTATGTACAAAGATTTTCTCTGCCTTAAGTCCCAAATACGGCATGTATTATCTTCACCACCACTTGCCAAATGATAACCATTGGGAGAAAAGCTGACACCAAGAACCTGGAACCAATAAATAAAATAAGTAACAGAATTCATTTTCTATGTCTTCTCATAATCCCTAAAGCATATGAGGAAAAAGGAGATCACATATCAAAGGAGGGCTCACCGGTTTTACATGACCTTCCAGAGCAAGAATACTTCGTCCACTCCTTAAATCCCACACTCGAACAAGTGCATCCAGCCCACATGATGCCACCAATGAACCATCATGGTGAAACGACAATCCATACACACTCCTACTGTGACCTTCTTGCAAAAGCAACTCTTCACCACTTTCTACATCCCATAATCTCCAAGTTTTGTCAAAGCTAGCTGTGCCCAAGTACTTCCCACAAGGATGGAAGGCAATCCGAGCTACACGGTCCAAATGTCCCTCAAACGTCCTGAGAAGAGACCCTTCCGAGTTCCATAACTTTGCAGTCCTATCAGCAGATGCAGTAGCTAAATAATTGCTTGTTGGAGAGAACACAACATCAGTAGCTCGTTCAGTGTGACCCTTTAGAGTGGAAAGCTTTTGCACTTGAGGCATACTCCATAACTTTGCAATTCCACTCAGAGAACTAAATACAGGAGAAAAGGAAGAAAAAGAAAGGCGTCATGGTGCTGCTTGAATAAATCCAATACGCATAACCGCTAAAGACACTAATAAAAGTATGGCAGCATTTTGCTAACGGGAACAAAAAATACCACTGTCCAGTTCATTTGGTAGGACATTGAATCAATCGAAGAACATCTAACTGTAAGATTTAATATGATAATCTCTGCGAAAAGTTAAAGTAGCAAATGCTAGTATGTTACACTAATATGAGTCCCTAAAGGTTAAAAAATAAGTTCCAAACAAAGCAGAATCAGAGAAACATTTACAAGTTTTAAGTGCATGAATATATGCTGAAAACCTGCAGCTACACCCGAAAAATAACAGGTCATGTATCCTATCCCACCCCACCCGCGAAGCCCCCATCCCAAAAGAAAAAGAAAGGACGAGGAAAAAGCACCCTCAAAAGAAAAATTATGGTCAGGTAAAGCAAGAGAGAGAAGTACAGAAGAATACCAGGTAGCAAGCATCTTTCCGTCATGTGAAAGCGAGCATCCCCAAAGGGGTCGATCGTCTCCAATTTCACTGCAATCAAGGGCGAGGCTCCCTGCTTGCTTTAAAGCCCAATCAACCTCTGCATCCACATCTTCATCTGGATCGTCCCTTTTCCTCCTTGCGCGGTGGACACGTAAGGCTGACTTAACTAAAGAATACTTTGCAATTTCTACCCTAGCATCTAAAAGTGCTTTTGATCCTTCAGTGTAGAAGGGGTACTGAATATCCTCCTCCTCTGCTGGTGCAGCAGAAGCTGCAGCTTCTTCATCCTCATGCGCTTTCATCAGCTTTTCCAGCTGTCCTTCTGCATCAAGCCTCGCCATAAGCGTCCGCAGACGGTCCCTTCTTTCCATCTCCCTTTCGCCAAAGAGAGTTATAGGCTCACCAAGCCTCCGAAGGCGAGCTCGAACTGCCATATCATTTGTAGGAACAGCTAGCGCAGCTGCACGTCGCTTCATCAGAAGCTCCTGCATGGCTTTCTCCTGCCTCTCCCTTACTATTCTGCTCTCCTCAGATATCTCATATTCTTGGACTGAGCCCCCCGTACCACGATCAGATCCCATTTCTTCATCAGAATCTGAATCGCTCGCTTGCACTTCTCCATTCTGTGCTACTGGAGGCCTAAGGACAGGTGGACGAACAGGCAATGGAGCTAATGGGGGAGGAATGGGGGTAGGGACTGCGGGCCTTGGAGCAATTGCAGGCACAACTGGAGGAAGGATAACTGTTGGAGCAACCGGTGGAGCGACAGGTGGAACTGGTTGAAGGTTAATCGCTCCTATAGCATTAACCACAGTCGAATTATCACCAACTAGAGTCGAAGGTTCTGCAGTTGAAGCAGGAATTTCCTCCTCAGCATCCATACCCTGATCAAAAAGAAGTCCAAACAATGAACACATAAATTTAAGTAAACAGAATCATTCACCTCAGACATCAGTCAGCAATAATTATAAACCTACTTGCTGTCTGAGCAGTTTAAGAATTTATTTTGCTCAGATTACGCCCTATCTACTATGTTGCTCGGACTCTCCGAAAATGTGGCCGGATACGTGTCGAATCCTCCAAAAGTAGTGCATTTTTGAAGGATCCGACACGGGTGCGGCTACATTTTGGAGAGTCCACGCAACATAGCCTATCTATATTTTTCTGGAGTATCTAGTTGGTCATTTCACTTCTACTTATGCAATTCACCCCACAGACAAAATAAAGAATTGTCAACTCATCTCCCTCAAGTTTCAGCCTTGTTCTGTGAGTTTTGACAGATTTTTAAACTAATCAGCTAAATGAACACTTTTGCAGCATATTAGGAAAAATAATGCTCAATGTTCAGATCAACTGTAGAAAGTGGATGGAACAAGCTAAAAGTTGCACCAAAATAGTACATGACAAAGATTCATGGGGGGGGGGGAGCAAGCAGTCTAATTTTCAATCATGTGGCAATGCAACAATGAAAGCACCAATCTACACAAATACAAACGTAGTAGCACTGTCCAAATTTGTAGGTCCCACGGAGAGCTGCTTCATTGGGATTTGAGATTTAGGAGGAACCTACGGGATTGGGAGATGGAAGAATTTCACAATCTAGTTGAGTTGTTGCATGGGTTGGATACACCGAATAATGTATCGGATGTATGGAGATGGCGGGAGAGTAAAAATGGATTATTCACGGTTAAATCTTATTATAAGAGGTTATTAGTGGGAGAGGAACAAGTTTTCTCTCATTAATCTATTTGGATTCCCAGAGCACCAAGAAAGATGTGTTTCTTTGTGTGGTTGGCGGCGAGGGGAGCGATTTTGATAGCGGAAAATCTGAGGAAGAGAAGGATCACCTATGTTAGTTGGTGCTTCATGTGCAAAAGCTCGGGCGAAAATGTAGATCATCTCCTATTTCATTGTAAAGTGGCTAGTCAGTTGTGGAGAGTGATTCTTAATTTGTTTGGGGTGCAATGGGCGATGCCGGGTACAGTGAAGGAGGCGTTGCATAGTTGGGTTCACATGAGTGGAAAGAGAAGTCCAAGGGCATGGAGTGTCGCTCCCTTAGCAATCATGTGGGTGATATGGAAAGAGAGAAATAGGAGTGCTTTTGAAGGGGTACAACAAGATTTTATGAAGTTGCAAAGTAGTTTCTTGTTCCTAGTTTCTTTTTGGTGTACTCATGAGGTCCCTATTTGTATAGAGGATTGGATCTCTTTTGTTGAGAACTATATTTTGGTGTAGGTTCTTTTTTTTTTCTGGTATATGGCTTGTATACAGGGTTAGTCCCCAATTGTTAATAAAATTATTTACCTTATCAAAAAAAAAATCAATTAAATTTATTACCTTACCAAAAGAAATAAGTTGTAAGGGAAATACACAATAGAGAAATAGAAAGGAGATGAGAGACAGAGGAAGAACCGAGAAAGAGGAAGAAGATAGAAATAAGAGGGAGAAACTGTAAGGAGGTGAGGAATTCTAGAAAGTTCACAATACAATAGCCTGCCCTTTTTTCTACCCTACTGTCATTTAGCTATTTTCTAACCCGAGTCCGACATGTAATTTGCCAATTTCCCATCCATGTCCTCCAATGGGCTATTTATGTTCATAACAATACCCCTGTCCTCAACCAATTAAAAAACTATTACCCCCCCCCCCCCCCCCAAAAAAACCCCAATAAGAACCTTGTCCTCCAGGTTCAAGTAGCGCAACACAAATGTCATAGAGCAGTGAAGGAAACTACACAAATACAAACATAGTAGCAATGTCCAAATTTTGCAACACAATGTAACAATGAAAGCACCAATGTACTACAATTTTCAATTTTGATAAATTCCATTGTCAGCATATGAGCAAAATCAAGGAAATAACCAAGCATCTGGGCCTCAAAAATTATAAAAGAGATCCTACAATCAGAGTTAGCTTGGAGAAAGGGGGTCCAAATGTTCAATTGAACCCAGTTAGCTTGGAGAAAGGGGTTCAAGTGTTCAATTGAACCCACTTGTCAAAAGATTATACTATGCAAATAAAGTAAAAGAGAATTTTTTTTATTATATATACACTTTTGAATCCCATTGACGTAGATGAAAATTCTAGTGAAGTGGTAAAGGGCAAGGGTGGATCTATAGTGTTAGCGACAAGTTCACGTAAATCCAATAGCTTTTGTTCATACACCGTATATGTATTAAAAATCCAATAAATATCTATAAATATTTGATTGTGTACCCAGTTATTACTGTATACTAACTTAAGGTCGTTGTAGGGACCAAAAAACTTCAAATACTAGATGCACCTATGTTAAGAGAGGTCCAAAAGCTGCTTTTAAGTCACAAGTTCAAACCTAAATTATGACATTCTAGTATCTTTTGAGTCTCTTTATTTAAATCCCTAGCTCCGCCACTACCTATAATGACCCAAAAGTTTACTGTTGGAGAAATCCCTCTTCTAAAACCCATGCTTCAGCATCAGGGACAAAGCTAGAATGCTGGTTACGAGCCAGTAGCTTTAGTTTAAACACTGTATTTATCTTAAGAAATCCATTAAATATATACAAATTATTAATTTAGAACCCGTAACTTAAAAGAACTAGAATCTCGAACCCGTAAGCTTCAAATCCTGACTTTGTTGCATATATGTAATCTGTATGGAACCTCACAAACTGTTTATAATCAACAATAATCTTATACTGACGTATTTCACCACAATAATCAGAGCTGTGCGATTCACATTGGCTCGAAATAGGAATTAGTTTTTACAATGGAAGCCGATAAACAGAGAGAGTAAAAGGAGAAACTTACGGAGCTCGCCGGAAGATGCTGCCAGGTGTTGACAAGGAGAGGCGGATTCGCGGTGGCGGTCCGGCGGAGGGCAGTAGGGAGGGTTTATCAACGAGGAGAAAATATATGAGAATATAATGCTGAAGGTTAAAGAAATGTAATTGAAAAAGCTTAGGTGGGCGTTTGGACGTAAGAATTGTAAAATTCCGGAAAACAGCGGGGAAAAAAGTTTAAATAAAAATTGTATTTGAAAATTAGAGTTGTGTTTAGACATTAATATAATTTGGAGCTAGTTTGAATTTTCGTGAGTGACTCAATAAACACTTTCACGCGAAACATAAATTTATGCATGAAAATTCATTGAAATTGCAACAAATTCATTGACTCATAAATTTTAAAATATAGTTGGCACAATGCTAGGGGGTCGGTTGGTTCGCGGGATAAGATGTGATAAAGTGTGGTACTAAATTTATATGTTTGATTGACGGTATAAGTTTATTTTTAGATAAATTTATACCACCAACCAAATATAGTATAAACTTTATCCCAAACTTAATCGTGGATATCCCATCTTATCCCAGCTTATCCCATCAAATTTGGTATTATTTTATCCCACCTCCTAGGTGAGATAAATTAGTCTAGGGATTATAATCCCAGGACGAGATAATTTAGTCAACGTACTAAACGACGAGTCCGGAACCAAAATGTGGTTCTTTTGGACTCAAAGAACTGAAATGTGTATAAAAAAAATATGGTGACCATTTTACATATAACGCCCTTTTAAAGGGTGTTATACCTTAACGTCCGTTTGCCCAGTTAAGTATAGCGTCCTTTTAAAAGGCGCTATATATATATATATATATATATATATATATATATATATATATATATATATATATATATATATATATA